TTTGTAAGCCGAGATAAGTGTTCGAGTGTCCTTGGTTGTCAAAGCTTTGAAGATATGATAGGTCCTATGGTACGCCTTTTTGCAGATTAAGTTACAATGAGACGAGAAGTCAAGCTTATCATTGTATAGGAACCCTAGATCCTTAACTTCTTTAATCTTAGAAATCTCCTTAGTATCAATGAAGTAAACGGATGAGCCAGGGGGACCCAAGTGCATATGACAGGATTTGGTATGGGACAGAGGAACTTGCCAATCTGTGGACCACTGTGCGAGACTGTTGACAGAAGACTGTAGGGAGAGGGCATCCAGAGGAGAGTCAATAACTTTGTAAAATTTCAAATCATCAGCATACTGTTTACACACAACACCAAACTGAGAGCAAATCATGGGCAAGTCCGCAGAATATATATTGAAAAGCATGGGGGATAAGACCCCTCCTTGAGGAACCCCGCTCTTTGCATGAAAGACTTGCGAAAAAGAACTGTTCATGGTACGAAGGTAGGTACGAAGTGGTTTCATGAGAGAATCATTGCTATTCAAGTGAATCCAAGTTGTTTACGAGAATTAAAGCAATGATGCTTACAGCGATGATTGATGCTTACATGTTGATATTGTGGTGCTTTTCTTCTTTCACTACCGAATATCTCATTAGCGGCTTCTTCATCGAGTATGTCTTCGTTGATTTCTCGACGCCTGCAATTTTGAAAAAGAAACATTGATCGTTAGAAAAAATAGGTGACGCTTGAGATACGCACTTTGTATAATTGGTAGTTAAAGATTATGAAGACCAACAGATCGAGCACATTGGCACAAAGCATTAAAGGCACAGTTTACGATAATTTTAGGTGCCCGTTTTTGTTCGAAAGCGGAAGTATAGACTGGGAATAGTTCATCGGTAGTGAAGGAAGCGAGAGAATTCGCCGATTTCGAGAAAAATATGGCTCCTCAAAAGTAGAGAAGATAGAGGTCGGACGAGATTGCCATGACGGAAATAACATGGAAGGGATATTCGGACGAAATTTCAGTCATTGGAATTGCACAAAGAGCTGACTACATCAAGCCAGAACTGTACAGAACTGTCTTTCATTGTCGCTATGGGTCATGGCAAGTTGTTTGAACTTCCTACAAGGGTTCCCCTGCGATCGGCGCAGCCTTTACAATGCCGGTGGAACTCGTCCGAGGATACACAAGGGCCAATCTTTGAGCCTTGATAACTCCCTAACATGGCCGTTTTCCGACCTAATAGTGGCAGATATGGTATACGCGGGGGCCTCAAATTCATCCTGTGAGGAATTTCGGAAACCTTTTTAATCGTTAAGAAAATCATTATTAAATAGGTTGGATAGGATACAAAACTGGCCATTTAAAAATATAGTACGGGCGTATAATCAGTTTTAAATAGCTACTTCGACCTTATATTCTCCTTTGAAACCATTAAGTACCTTGAGCAAAGCAGAACGTCAACTAACCTTCTTCTTATAGTGATGTCTTCAATGTTATCGGATGACGTTGTGATAACCAAAGGGCGACCAAAATGTCCAATTCGTGGTGGAGGCCTGCAGTTGATGAATGTTACAAAGTTTATACATATTATATATCGGGTAAGTCGGGAGTAGTGTAGTGGCAAGTGACGCCTTATCACACAAGCGGGGTCCGGGCTCGAATCACCGATGCACACTGGCTGAAACCAACCCAGCCATCTCATCTCTCTGGGGTCGGTTAATTGGTACCAGACTAGTCTGGAAGGACTAACTTCTATGTACATGGCTGGCTTTCGCAAGTCATTGTATAAGCCACATAAGCATTCAATGCTCCACTACGACTCTGAATGGAAGCTGAATGCGGGGCGCATTCTACAGGCAGGACTGATCGATCTCAAAGACTTTACCTTTGATGATATTAATACTATCCAAACGCACCTTAATCCTTTGGTAATTGAATTCAATTCGCCGTTTTCATTGATTTCAGCGTAAACTGTAGAGGATACAACAACCCACAGTAAAAATAACATATTCAACCTGGAAAATTCTGATCTTACATAGTCATTAAAAATTATTTTTAACAAATAGTCGATATGGGCTTCATTGAGAACCCACTGGAGTAAAGCATAAGTATTTTGAGAAAAAATCTAGCGAACTTGCCGGCAAGGTTATATAAGCCGAGCGGCTTTGCTATGAAGTCCATTTCTATGCAGTTCGGGAAGTCGGGATTAGTTCGGGACTAGCCTAATTGGAGCGCGTATTTGGCTTACCGTACCTAATTCTTCAAAGAGATAAATCCCGTATATGATGTAAGTGGATCACAGCCTGTATGAGTGGAACATTTGCTGAATGAGCTTCTTCGAAGCCTACACCATCGTTTTGCGATGAACTAATTGTAAGTGGCTGCCGGTGCTTCATTTTCCAGGTAGGCGGAACGTGCACCGAATGGGACCATGGAAGCACCAAAAAAAGCTAAATTCCCGAGTAGTCAAAGTTCTCAGCGGGGCGATTACTATAACTGCGGAAGAAATTGAAAGGAAACCGTTCACATGCCCTTCCTCCAAATGCCACCGTAGATTTGAAAAATGTTCAGTTCAGTGACTCTGGAACTCTCCCCCCTCCCCTCATTGGGGCTTCAGACAGAACCACCTTCCCGTCCTTGAAGACGGCGGTTCGCTCAGAATGAATATCGAATGAGGTTTCTCCTTAATGTAGGTAGTTTAAACTTCATTGGGATATGGTAGATCCCTCTGAATCCTGGGCTTCAAGAAGTCCCCTTTTCGGTTCCTATTTTTACTATCTGTTTGTTTTGTGTTTGATGCTATTCCTGATCGACGCGAGGTGTATGCGATGAATGAAATTAAATTCGTTGCCATGTGAATCGCTGCCTAACGTAAACATTGTTTATTCATCTCATACGTATGGATGTTTATGACTATTTGGTATTGATCATCGCGATTACAGTAATCATCTTAACTTTGTCATAAATCTTCTCAAGACAATCACGGACGTCGTAAGGTTGGAAAAAAAGTTCTATTCGAACAGTTTTTCTGACGGAACTAGCGAACCGATAGATATTTTTGGGTTTGGTTATTAGGAATGTTCTCATCGTTTGATAGACCGGGTATTTTGGCCGAATACTTTTAATTCGAATGGATCAAGATGTTGATCGCCTGATCGTATGATCGTGCTTGAGTCCCTCTCGTTCGCACTGGGAGGAGTGCATGGCAAACATGTTAGCTAGAGAGCGGCTGGATGTTTGAAAACGCACTTCACAACAATCTTATGGACAGAAAGTAAACTCGCTTGTTTTCTCACTCGGTTCATGCCTTCTCTTCAGTTGACAGTTCTCGAAGAAGAAGGTTCATCCATTGGCTTGACTGAGACAACTGTCTAGTACCACCCGTTAATCCCCTGTCTATATTCCCAGTGCGGAACCTTTTCTCAAGGTAAGTCCTGCCTGCCGACGTCACTGGACTCCTTCATTTGGATAACTATTATATTACTTGGAAAAGAAAAAACTCGTGAATCAAGAGGTTCATCACTTGGACACTATGGACTTCGTGTAGGTGGGGGCACGACCGCTTAACCCTGGAAGAGCAGTACTGCTTCTTTAGTAAGCTCTATGTTTATTTCCCAAAACTATAGGAGAACAACATTATTAGCTTTGATAATACACTTTAATGCCGAACCAATAAGGCCCCCAGAGAAAGCGTGTTACCATGTCCTTTCAAAGGTTGAGGGATTTTTAGCAATTCCATTGCTCCCCAATGATCACATTTACTTCGTGTGTGCTGTGACTATGATACCAAATGGAAATCACCTACTTGGATAGGATCACGATGTAGGCTGGAAGGTTCTGGAATGATTGATTTCAAAAGAAAAATCGAAATAAAAATGTCTCTTTTGGAAACAGAATATTCAAAGTCAGCCATGGAGGAGTCAAGGAAGTCCTAATGAAATCCAAAATAGAAGCCTATTTTTTAATTAGAATATCGGCAAGGGACGGCTTCAGATAGTGAGTTTTCGATGAATGTCTGAATGTCAGATTGTCGTCAGCGCACCGTCATTCCTTATTTTGAAATCCATCCCATTTAGGTAGTTCTATCTCCTCTAAGTTCGAAAGGATCTCTCTTTACATCTTTCAGGATCTAAACAATGTTAAAATGATTATTGCTGATCACACCATGCATTTGGTTCGCTCTCAAACTCTGAGCAATGTTTGAATGTGCGGTGTTTCAATTTCTAATTGGGTGAAAGTCGCACTCATGGGCGCATCCCAGAATGCGCTCAGACACTACCAATCTCCTTTGGCTCAGTCCTTTCCTGGAATTCTAGGGAATAACTATGACCTGTGTATGTCACTTTACAGTTTTGCAAAATGACGCCTCAAGATGGAATAAGAATTGAGCAATCTGCTGATAGAAAAGTCGAGAGAAATGTCGGCATTCAACTCATCAATTCTCTGTCAAGTAATGAGTCAAAATCTACCGCAAATACGCTATTTAACCAGAAAAACTCAATGTTGAACTGAGAAGACATTGCCATGAGACCGCAGATGTGACAAGATCAAAGAAAAAACTCGTTGAAGAAGTTAACAGAGTAGAAAACTGCAGAAATCGTAAATGAAATCAATCACTGGTTAAAGAAAATTGTGAGTAAAACGGAAGGTCGCCGTTGAAACATCGAGAACCCCCTGCAGACGGCGCTACTGCTGTGCGCCAGTAAACTCTTCTGACCCACCTGGCCAACTTACACGACCATCGAATGACTTTTGATGTCTTTGAGAGCGGAGAAATTATCATTGAGAGAAACCTTGTGCCAGTAATCACTAGCTGAAATTCCTGAAGGTCTTAATTTAATACTGGCAAACTCTCTCGCTGAGAATTTCTCTCAATCGAGCATTATTGTCTAGTTCCGTCCATCATTGTCATATGGAATTTACCCTGAGAGAGAACTGATCAGTTCAAAACGAAAACAATGTCACCATCTTTGTTTTCACCCCGATTGCCTTCAACTGCCGCGCAATGGCCGTCGTCCAAGGCTTTTCTCGGCGTCTGTGTAACATTTCTGAACTGCCTAGCCAGCTGGGCATTGATCTCCGGAGGTCCATGGATAGGATGTCAGGTTCGACGACGAATTCTTACCCAAATTTTTGACTGTCCTTGTCGGTCATGGGGCGGGAGGAAGTGGTGGCACAGGCGGGCTCAATAACTGTCTAGCTGGCTTTGCGGCGCTTTCTACCACTGCGTTTAGGCCAACACTGCTGAGACGGATCCTCTGACTGGGCTCTTTCTATTGTATCATCATAGCTTACCCATTTCCTACTGCTAAAGCCTAGGCTATCATAAAGTTAAGCTTCCTAAGTCTCTCCTAGCAGTATCATGACTACTATGATTACCGTTTCCAAATGATCGTCTGCCGTCGATCAACTTTATTTCTAGGAGACGTCACAACCCAATCGGTCTTCTTTTCAATCGTACTGGTATTTGAGAGGGTACTGATTCTGAGACCATGCAGAGGCTAATGTGTGCACCCAGGTGAGGCTCAATCTCAGAAATGATCTTTATGTACGGTAATGGCGGCATCGCCACCAACCCGCACTTGCCGACTCTTTCTGGTTGTCAGAATCCGTTTTTATTCATTTCGTTGACTGTTTGGTGCTGAATCAAGTGAATAACATTCGTCTCCGTACGGACCCAGACTGCACTTGTGTTTAGGTCGGGGTGGGCAGATTTGAGCCCTTTTGAGGCGAATGTTTTGCTCGTGAATAAGCACCCTTTAACGAAATGTCATGGCCGACGAATCCGCTACTTTTCTTCCGAGAGAATGGATTCCGACGAATTCCATCCGATAATCTTAGCGGCAACAGCTAAAGACGATTTATTGTGTTGATAAACACGATTGTTGATTGGTGGACTCGCATGAATGGTGCACCAGTTCTCGGCCCAGATTCGATCGAGTGACGAAGCCGAGGAACGCATAAGCTGATACGGCTTAAAGGCACGATCCGATCACTGGCCATTGTTCAGATGAGATCAGATCAGATACACTCTCACGCCAGCTTCGAAAGATTCCGGTTCTCCAGAATAATTGGACTCTGGCAGTTATTTTCGAGCATGCGGGGATGTTTACAGCATTCCTTTCAGAGTACTTTGCCCTTCACCATCTGCCAATCAACTCTGTCAACATCGATTTACTAGAGAGATGTACATGAGTGCATGAACGCAGAAAAGGAATGAAAAGCAAGTTGGGGGACTGG